ACACACGCACATATAAGCGTTTCCTTGGAAAAACCTACTCAAGAACTAATTTGACATGAAGGTAGAACTAAGCACTTTTACTAGGTTTTTGAAAGTAGAAGGTCATGGAAAGTTAGGTTATTTCTGTGTCAGAATCACCTTGGATGATGGTCATTGAACTGTTTGGTATACTTTGAGTCAAAATGATTAAAAGAAAGCTGGCACAAAAGTTTAAGACTAAAGGCATTTTCAAATAAATTCCTTAAGACTAGGATTTCTGACGATCTAAGCTTCATAGCTCAGGAATATTTTGAAGGAATGACTCCACATTAAGTGATGACTCTTCCATTGCACATGACTAAATGTCTAACCCTGGCTTAATTAAAGTAAATTATTAATGAGAAAAAAAGTTGTGCATATTCTAAGGCTTCATTGGCCTTAATTGAGATGTCTAAGCTTTGGTACTTGGGGGCAGATTTCACCTTATACTGAGAATAAAAGCATAGAGTACTGATTGGAGCCCTGGCTTGGGAGACTGAAGGTCTAGTTTTAAACCCTGCATCTGCCACTAACTCATTGTCTGAATGGAGCAAGTATCTTACCAGTGAAATGACTGTGGGGATTAGTGAATGAGTATGTAAAGTGCTTTCATGGTAGCTGATTAGAAGTAAGCCCTCATGAGTAGCAAAGCAGCAATGGCTGCAGCAGGATTTGAAGAAAGTGAGAAATCAGGTAAGGAACCCCCAGGGGTATAGATAGAGGGTTCCTCCAGATTCTGCTACCTTTTCATCCTCTTCCTCAGATAGTGTTCCCGCTATGCTTTTGCTGTGTACAATTTGTCCTGTTTTATTTTCTTTAGTTGTGTACATGTCTGTATCTCCTACTGGACTAAGCACTCGAGTCATCCTCAGATAGCTACTGAACATGAGCGCTTGCCAGGCTCTGTGCTCAGCCACGGCCTTAAGCTTTGGGATTTAGCCCTGGCCTCAGAGAGCCTATAATCTGTTAGGACCAGAAGCTAGTAAACCAGCATCTGGAGTAAACAGTAACAAGATCTGTGTTTGAAGGCCCTGGGGGAATATGCTAAAAGGGGACCCCCATGTGTTTGGAATGCAAGCAGTGTTTTTCCAGAGTTCATACACCTAAGTCTTAAAGGATCAGTAGTTATTAGCTGAATGAAGGTGGGTTTGAAAAATGTTTGAGGCAGGAAACATCTGTGCAATGCCTAGAAACACAAGAGAGTGGCTAGCGGACCCTCATATGGCAGAACTGGCCATGTGGGTGGGACAGGGAAGAGTAGTCAGGCTGCGAAGCCTTTGTCAATTCAGGAGTTGAAACTTTATCCTGAAGGCGCTTAGGAACCACTGAAGGATTCAAGGAGAATAAATAACTTCATCAGATTTGCCTTTGAGTAAATTCACTGTGTGTGGAAGAAGCAGAGTAGAGACTATCCTGTTTCCCTGATACAGAAGTTCTGAGGTTTGCAACTGTAATGCTGTGCCTGCTATACAAGAGTCATAAAATATTTATGTATGAGGAGAAATTAGAATGCGGTGAGACTGGAGGGAAGGACACCAGTTAGGCTGTTGCAGTAAAGGGGGGTCCTGGCTCGCCCTCAGGGTAGAGGAGGGTGCTGTGTACCAGGGTCAGCGGACTGGGGTTTCAGGCCTGGCTTCCCCAGTTTCCGAGGTCCTTGGGCAGGCTTCAGGGCCCCTTGCGTCTTGGTTTTCAAATTTGTAAAGTGAGGCTGGAATCCTACCTGGTAAGTTTGCTGTGAGGATTTGAGCAAGATGTGAAAAGTCTAGTCCAGGGCCTTTTACACATAGGGGGCCTCTTATAATGAATGCACTAGTTGTAGGATTCCTAATGTGGAGTGCACTACTCGTACATGACAGCTGATGGTGACTCACAAGTCCCAGCAGCTAGAGATACACATGGCAACATGCGCTTTATTTGCACATCTTAAATGATTGACAGTG